TTTTTGTTTTTTAGCCAATCAGAATTCATCTTCTGAGCCAGTGCAGATCAGCAGGAATGTAGAGGTGTAAGCTGTAGAAATTCACTCAATCTGGATCTTGATGATGATGATGATCAACTATATTATTATAAACTTAGAATTATACTGACTTGATTTGATAATTGGCCAACCAACCAACCAACCTATTTTCATACCAATCCCAAACAGAATGAAGGTATGACAAAACACAAGTCTGATCATGTTAGTTGTAACTGTCTCATTCTACCACAAACTTGATATAATCGATACCTCACAAGTCTTGCCAAACACTCTTTTGATATTACCACATCAAACCTTGATATGAGCCCCCTTCATTATGTGATCATTACCACATTCCACATACCTGTAACTATGAAATGTCCTTCATATATATTACCATTGTATCACCGATCTTTACATGATACAATCACATATACTTTGATAAACATGATTCATTTGTGTGTTTTTATGCAGATGTATAATTTGTGGCAGGTGCGAGTTATGGAGACCGACTGCAGCAAAATATCATGTTGATTTGGCGAATGATGGATCTAAATATGCCCCAAATATTTCTGGAATTTTGTTTTGTAATAATGAAAATGATATATGAACAATAATCGCAGAGTTTTCTATATTGTGTAGAATTTATACTAACAAAATGCCAATGAAACAAGACTAATACCAGACCCTGTATATTTCTGAAAATATCACCACTTGGTGGCGCTGTACATGTATATAGAGGGCGTTATTTGCTTCACCATGCGCAAAAAATGTTTGGCTGACTAAGTATGATAAGTGTGGTAAGTGTGATATATATGTGGATATATTGACCACTATTATCCCATATGCATTTGTACATGTACGTCTTACTGCAAAATGTCTAAATATTTCCATTATATGGGCAATATCAATACCTGAAAAAATTAACTTTCCCTTTGTCCGATTTTGGTAGACTTTTGATATGTTGTTTATGTCTATTGTTGCTAAATCTGCAAAGAAACATTCTGTTGCAATTTTGTATGGGTTGACCTAAAAATCAAATTAGATTGACTGGACTACTAGCTTTTAAAAGACATCGGCTTCACAAGGTTGACGGACTTCTGACGTCAGCAATGACGTCATCATGTATATGACGTCTTCATGCATGTTGAAGTGATCTGTTACAGATGCAGATTTATATATTACATTCATTGTTTTTAAAATATTGTTGCTATACAGTAATACATTTCAATGGTAATTAGAGGTTATTAGAGATTATTGCATCTGCGGTAGGTAAAATCAGTGCTAAAAACTGAATTCTTCAACATGCTCTAAAAAAAATTGCCCAACGATTTAGGTCTTGCGGGTTTTTTTTGGTCATTCTCAATGACCTTAGCTAACGTTTGAAACAAAATCTGCTAATGTACTATTTTATTCCGGGTCAAACCCTAAATCCACTGGACTATTATTCAGTGGAAAAAAATCCAGCCCATATACCTTTTTCCTATATTTTACATTAAACTCGTCCAAAATCAGTAAAAAATAAAATCCAGCGAATACACCCAAAAAGTCGTGTCAGCGAAAATAAATTCCAGTTAAAATGAAGTTATTTACAGTACAAATCTGTGCATATTAATCACCTAATTTGCATAAATGTTTTGTTTCCAATGATATCTCAAGTGCTTATGACATTAGAATGAAACTTGGTACATAGATACTTAGTTTGTGGTTGAAATTCATGCATAATAATAATTAACGGTACCCATTTTGCATTTCAATAAGTTTGGTTCATACAATGTAGATGCTCTGGGGGCATTCCACAGATGTGATTAGTATAATGAAAAACATGCATATATATTGATTAGCCAATTTCTGGTATCTCAAAAAAATCAGATTTAAATTGAAGTAGAAGGTACTGAGCTTTCTTCTCCAATCAATTACCTATTCCTTTGTCACCAATCCAGCTATATCTGCTTATACTATTGTTTCAGTCATTCTTTGAATAATGTTTAATATGTAAATGTTACATTACTGTAAGTTATCAAGTTGTTTTGCTACATTTGCATCGCACACAGACATGTTGCCAACATTGGACCAGCACTGGACATTTTATATATTTGGACATAAATATATATATTTTGACCATGCAAGATATATTTTTTAATATGGATATTCTACAAGTATTTAAATATAAAATATATGTAGTAATACATTTGCAATGTTGTGATAATACAAGAGTATGAAAGTAATTTTGTTTGTGGTCTAAGCAAATGAGATGACTACTGCGGAATACTTTATTTTCGCTGGAATTAATTTTCGCTGAAAAGGCTTTTCGGGTGTTTTGTATGGAATTTATTTTCACTGGTTTTTGATGAGTTTAATGTGAAATATAAGGAAAAAAAGTATATTCGCTGGATTTTATTTTCACAGAATCTTCCCTTCAGCGAAAATAAAAACCAAGCGAAAATAAAGTATTCTCAGTATGTAATTGTTTTTATGTAAATATGCAAACTACCGGTGGTTGATGTTTTCACATCTTGTTTCCATTGAAAAATGTAATGTAATCTTACGTAGATACATGTCAGAATGTTAGCCATTTTTATTATTAAAGACACCCAAGTCATTGTTTTGCATAAATAAACAAATTAGTCGTGGGCCAACCAAGCCTTTTCAATGATAACAGCATTTTTTTTTCATGAGAGGACATCATAGGGGACCCTATATACTAATAATTCTGGAATGTAGGGGTATATAGTACTAGACATGGCACACAGGTAATACACATACACTTTTGAGACTGTTTTATGCAACATTTAATTTGCATTAATAGGCATATTTAAAAAAAATAATCCACTTTAAAATCTATTTCAGAATACAGTTCTACATAAAAATGTAAATCGAAATAAATGGCATAGTTTCTTACGAGTAATTTAAAAAAAAAATATTGTATCAAAAATACCAATCTACAATATTGTTTTCCACCACACGCTTATAATACAACATTTTCATAACAACAAATCACTTAAAAATTTAAATAAAATATAGTAAATATTATTCAAAATTTGTGTAAAAAAGCTTCAACATTCAACACAGCATTACTGTATGGCGATGTGGAATAAACTTAACCACCTTTCAAGATGTATATGAAAATGTTAAGAAATGTTAAATTTAAGAGATAGAATACGTAAAGTAATTTGCACACCATGATTCATCCAACTTAACAAGCCTATCTGGTACAAAATATACAACTTGCATTCCGCAGGTTTCAAAGATTTAGAGGTTATCAAATATTGGTTTCTTGTTTATTCAAAGCCTTCTGAAATACAAAGAAGTGATATATGTAAACAGAAGTACATTTAGTAGTGCATAGTTAGTCTCCTATTTTCTTCTTGGGATGTGTGGAATGATTTTGTTTTATAGAGACGTGCTTAGGTCAATGAAATGTCGATCAGTTTGAAAGTTGCTGGCATTTGTGATGTAATTTGATTTTGACAATGATAGTACTTTCTTGCAAACAGTGTGCAAAAGATCTCTGCTATTAACCACGAGTGATTGGATTTATGGATTGTTGGTGACTAACTAGGCTAACAGGTACAGCTGTAACTGACCACCATTTTGGATTAGTGATATTCCACCAAACTTTACCATTGTCAGCTATGGGTTGTGTGACAGACTTAGAATGCACATTCAGATAAATCAGACTGCAGAGAATCTAGACGAGAGTGACAAAGTGCTTTTCACAACAAAACACAACTGCTTCTCATGTAAAAAATTAAGCGTCAGTTGTTCACACTGTAGTGTTTTTGATAAAGAGTCCCAGAGTAATGTATACAGCATACATGTATGTAAAATACAACACAAGCTGCAAGATAACTGTGATGCTTTACTGCATTGCCAACTGAAACACTCCACAGACATACCAAATCAATGAGGGAAAAAAATCAACATGTGTTAAGGTAGAAGCCTACTCATAAATTAAAAAACCCAGAATTTATTCATTTTTATTCAAACTGTACTTCAAGGCAATATAGGGATAATCTAGCCTGGTGACATAGGCTGAAAAAATCATATATTGTTAATGAAGGAGTACTTTTTGTTGTTCTGAATTATTTTAAAAATCTGGGTTTTAAAAAGTGTCAAAAAATGTAATTTTTCTTTAACACTGTTCTATGGAATTGTTCTAAAAATAGTGATTTTCAAGAAATATTAGGACACGTTTCTAAAAAAGAACACACAAAATAATGCTATTTCATTGTACCACGAGACATTAGCTTCATGATTGTACATAATAAACTAATGAACATTGTCATGCGATTTATGACCAATTTTGTCAAAAATTTTGAGTTGGCTTCTACCTTTTGTTAATTTTTTTTTTACAATTTCACACCTTTTTCTCAGCCTTTGCCAACTTTGCTTTTTTCCATTTCTCTTTCCTTTCCTTGAGTGGAGTGAATCCAATACTAAATGCAGTCGACTCTCGACCAGCATTTTGTGTTTCCTATTTATAAAAAGACAAATTTGGTTACATATGTATCAATGAAATAAATGATTACTTATTTACAGCCAGTTACTAAGCACGCAGTTATGGCGATGTATGTTTTCTGAAAGCTGAGATATAGCAGAATACGATCATATATGTTTCGTTTTAATATTTGCTCAGGGGATTAAGTTACGATCGTTCACGTGAACATCCAAAACTAAACAGAGTTTTTTTGCAGGATTTGCTGTTTCTCGGTGTTCCTTTTTTCTATGTTTCTGATCTTTTCACTGTTGCTTTATAAAATAATTAACTTTGAAAATGCGTCTCGGAATTTTTTGTGTGCCCCATAGTTCTGGAGATATAGTCTGTTGAACTTTATGGACTAAATTTTATGAACGTCTCCATGTCCTCATGGCCGTAACCTAACGTCAATGGCTCGCATAAACGTCCATAAGACATCATATTTTAGTCCATTTTGTGGCGAATAGATTGTGTAATTTATACATCGTTAGCGTAATGAAAAGTGTTAAAGAAGACATCTTCAATAGTTATGATAGTCAAAAATTAGTTTCTGTAAAAACTCAATAAAACGTTTCTTCGAATTTTGGCCATTTATAAACAGCTAATTAATTATGCTTTATAAATATACAAGTATCTGATCTGCGAGGATTGTTATATCATGAACAAATGGTTGATTGTTTCTTAAAAAGTGACAAAACTTAACAGTTTCATCGAAAGTGGGTGCTAACTTGAACAAGATGGCGTACCGCGCAATTAATTTATTCAAGTCCCTTTGTTATGTTGAACAGTGTCAAACAATACAATCGGTTCTCTAAACACAGGGCGGACCATCATGACAGCATATATTTACTTACGGGATATACATGCCTTCAAGTACAGATATGTTTGCATTACTTTCTGCCTATGGAGAGTGTACCGTTATCGGATTCGTTATAATCAATTAGCTCCAAGTCAGCACTGTTTTTCTTTCCAATAAAAAACGAAATGTAGCGCTGGCCATGCTCACAGATTCCAGACAGAGGAGGCAGTAATTCCATGTAACTAACAAATTTACGCATTGCGCGACGACCCTTTCCAATGCCACCAGCTGCGATCACCAACTCACGGTTTACATCAAAAGAATTTCCACTCCGGAAAAAAGTCAGTCGCAGAGTTGCATTTTGGACTCATGCACTCATATACTAGTAGTAAAGATGACTCCCCCAGCCTTGGCGGATGTTTGTGTTTTCTGCCAAAACAAAATTCCCCTTTTTACAATAACGACACATCAATATATCACTGCCAATTTTATTTACAGACTGTATTTCTACCATGAAGCAGTGTCTGTATCAAGGATTTCCATCTGGTCGTTTTCGTCCTCGTCTGAACTGTCGGTGTCACCGTGACAATCACTCAGGAAAATTTTTTCCGCAGATAGGCTCGTCTTCAAATCACTCTGCGGGCTGACTATAATATGAGCCCAGGTCACTTTCTTTTAGATGTTTAACGGCGTCGGACATTTTTCGGCGGCCAGGTTTTTTCATTTTTAGAAATCCTTCCAATGATTATATTATATTATTAAAACACAGAGAAAAGCTTAAAATCCTATAGCGTAATGTTTGTTTATGCTTCGATCGCGTAAAGGACAGGATATAATAAAGCTGGATGTTCAACAAATCAGTATACAAATTAAATCCTTTGTCTTCAGTCTGGCACTCAACATGATATGTACGATAAATGTACGGAGGACATGTTCACCCACAACTAGATTTTAGGCAATAAACTGAAATTACGCACCAAATGCATCGCGCACAGTAAATTTGGACCAAAGATAAAGAAAGCACACAATATAATGTTTCATAATTCAAAATTTTTTGAAAAACGTTTTTTTTTATTTTCTAATTTTTCTCCTGTCGCTACCTTAAGCATATTCACTGTGTTTTAATGTCACAAGAAAACAATGAGTTTTATTGTTATTTTACATGTTCACATAGATTTAATTTAGCGGACTTTAATTATCAGCGAAAATAGCGAAATTAAAAGCCAGTGAATAATTAATAAGAAATGAACAAGCATGCCAAATTGTACGACTAGTTGCTATTTCTGCTGTTGACAATACAACCTTTATGGCGCAATCAATACGACTGCAGGGATATAGCTTACCTTCTTGTCTTTCTTGGCCAACCTTAAACTTTTGCGTTTTTGTTTATCTTTGAGTGGAGTGAAGCCAATGCTAAACATTGCAGACTCCTTACCAATTTGCACAGTTTCCTAAAATAAGATAATGTTAATATTTGGTATAATTTTAACAAATTGCAGGGATATTGAATAGGAAACCCATACATTTTATGATTATCCATGCATTAAATGAGGTTTAATTTTGATAGATTACAGCAGAAATTGATTCAACTCAAAAGTTGAACATAAGCAGTGTATAACATTTTGTTTTGTTTGGTGGTTTACTGAAACAATAATTAGAAGCTTATCAGTGGGCAAAAATCACTATCCAATTGTCAAACTGTACTGATTTTCGCTAAGCTGTATACAGTAAAATACAGACTGTTCAAGTACACATCTAAAGTTACTTTACAACAAATATCACCTTAAATACCTTACAGCAAAGAGAGTATAATAACCTAATTTGCAATACATGTGTATTTCAGTGACACATTAGAAGATTTGTTATTGGCGCGGGAAAGGGGTGTGTACAAGTCTAACCATAGGAACACAATATGTTCTGGGGAGGGGTAAGGTTATTGGTTCATATATTGCAATGGTTGGGGCACAGTTAGTCATTATTTACTGAGTGTCATATTTAAGGTAGAAATCTACCCATACATGTACATGCAAATACCTAAAATTTATTCATTTTACAATAAATTGCAGTTGTAAACTTGTCAGTATTATAGGTTCTTATACTGTAAAATGATTAATTTTCACTGGGTTTGAATTTCGCTGATTTTCAATTTCAGGCATATTCAGTGGGTTTTAAATTCACGGTCTTATCATTTAGATAACGTGTTCTATGCTAAATTTTACATATTCACTGGGTTTTAATTTAGCGCATTTTCCAGTCAGCGAAGCAAATTTAAAACCCAGTGAATAATTAACCCTTTTACAGTAGCAGAAATATTATACAAACACATGTAAGCTGAAAAAAAATTATATATTGAGATAGGATACTTTTTATTCTCCTGAATTATTTGGGTGGGTTTTGAAAAATGTTTTTACCTTGTGCTGCTGAATATTTTGAGCCGAAGTTGATTTTCTGGGAGTTAATCGACGAGTTTTACTTGGATTCAGTGACATTGAAGACCTCAGCTAGAAAAGATAAAAAATGTCTTTTTGTTCAGTAAACAATTTCAGGGACCAATTCAAGATAACAAGTAACCAACTTCAGCATGACAAGTAACCAACTTCAGCATAACAAGTAACCAACTTCAGCATGACAAGTAACCAACTTCAGCATGACAAGTAACTAATTTCAGCATGACAAGTAACTAATTTCAGCATGACAAGTAACCAACTTCAGCATGACAAGTAACCAACTTCAGCATGACAAGTAACCAACTTCAGCATGACAAGTAACCAACTTCAGCATAACAAGTAACCAACTTCAGCATAACAAGTAACCAACTTCAGCATAACAAGTAACCAACTTCAGCATGACAAGTAACCAACTTCAGCATGACAAGTAACCAACTTCAGCATGACAAGTAACCAACTTCAGGATAAAAAGTAACCAACTTCAGCATGACAAGTAACCAACTTCAGAATGACAAGTAACCAACTTCAGGATGACAAGTAACCAACTTCAGCATGACAAGTAACCAACTTCAGCATGACAAGTAACCAACTTCAGGATAACAAGTAACCAATTTCAGCATAAGTAACCAATTTCAGCATAAGTAACCAATTTCAGGATAACAAGTAACCAATTTCAGGATAACAAGTAACCAACTTCAGCATAACAAGTAACCAATTTCAGCGTAGCAAGTAACCAATTTCAGCATAACAAGTAACCAACTTCAGCATAACAAGTAACCAATTTCAGCATAACAAGTAACCAACTTCAGCATAACAAGTAACCAACTTCAGCATAACAAGTAACCAATTTCAGGATAACAAGTAACCGATTTCAGGATAACAAGTAACCAATTTCAGGATAACAAGTAACCAATTTCAGCATAAGTAACCAATTTCAGGATAACAAGTAACCCATTTCAGGATAACAAGTAACCCATTTCAGGATAACAAGTAACTAATTTCAGCATAACAAGTAACCAACTTCAGGATAACAAGTAACCAATTTCAGGATAACAAGTAACCAACTTCAGGATAACAAGTAACCAACTTCAGGATAACAAGTAACCAACTTCAGGATAACAAGTAACCAATTTCAGGATAACAAGTAACCAATTTCAGGATAACAGTAACCAATTCCAGGATACTAAGTAACTATTCTCAGAGTTCAGGGTGGAATTAATCATATTCAGGGTGACAGTAGTATGCATGTTCAAGAAGAAAGCAGCTAAGTTCGGAGTGGAATGTTTAAAACCTGTGAAGTATCAAAGTTTTGGGAAGAAGTAACAATGTTTTGGGAAGAAACAACAAAGTTTTGGGAAGAAGTAACAATGTTCTGGAAAGAAGCAACAATGTTCTTGGAAGGAAGTAACAATGTTCTGGGAGGAAGTAACAATGTTTTGGGAAGAAGTAACAATGTTCTGGAAAGAAGCAACAATGTTCTGGGAAGAAGCAACAATGTTCTGGGAAGAAGCAACAATATTTTGGAAAGAAGTAACAATGTTTTGGGAAGAAGTAACAATGTTCTGGAAAGAAGTAACAAAGTTTTGGGAGAAGTAACAAGTTTTGGGAGAGTAACAATGTTCTGGGAGAACAAAAAGTTTGGGAGAGTACATGTTCTGGGAGACAAAAAGTTT